ACCCTGAACCTTAAACCCTAAATCCCAAAGGCCAGTAAACCCTAAACCCTAAACCCTAAATCCTACACCCCATGACAACTTCTGCACGTTTCAAGCTCCAGCCCACACTTCCTCTAGCTAAATCTGGCTTAAAGCCTCGGTTATCGGATTGAGGGCGTGGGCGGGTTTAGGGTTTAGGGTTTAGGCTTTAGGGTTTACGGTTTAGGGTTTAGGGTTTACGGTTTAGGGTTTAGGGTTCTTAGGGCTTCTGAACCAGAAGAGAGGTCACCAGTGGCACAGCAGCTGCTGGCCAGCATTGCCTCAGGTCCTTCCGATTCTTTGGAATGAGCCCTAAACCCTAAACCCTAAACCCTAAACCCTAAACCCTAAACCCTAAACCCTAAACCCTAAACATGGGCTTCCGGGGTGGGTTTTGGCAAGTTTCCGCAGCCGGCATTTTCAGGGGCCTTGGGGGCTCCGGGCGTGTTCTAGGGGGGATTTGGCCAAAAGCTGGCTTTTTCGGCTTTTTGAGGCTGTTTTGTGTAAGATTCTAGGGATGCAGCATACACGAATCGCATGGTTTTCCGATTTCTGCACGCTTTCAGTTTCACACGGTTTGCGGGTCTGCATCTGGATTTCCCGAGCTTGGCCGCTGATTGCCAAATCCCTCACTTCCGAGGCCATAAACGTCTTGCTACGCACACCAGGAAATGGAATCCCAGCCCCTGCTGAGAGAAAGTTGACCTCTAGAATTGCAGGAACCTTCTTGAACGCGGTCTAAAACCCTACAAGATCTCTCTCTCTCTCTCTCTCGCTCTCTCTGTCTGTTTATCTCTCTTTATCTCTCTTTCTCTCTCCCTTTATATATTCATATACACACACACATATATATATATACACTGTTTTTGAAGCCTTATCCAACCCTTTTTACTTGTTAGCGAGGCTCTGTTCTTGGTTTCTTTGCAGGGAGTTCGCGGCCTCCAAGCCCAGGTACGTACTGGCTCTGGACCTGACCCTGGGCTCAAAATTGCTGAGTTTTTGGGATCTGGTTTCTACAGGGTCCCCTTTTAAAGGGTCCTTAAAGGGATCTTAAAGGGTCCTTAAAGCTATCTAAAAGGGTTTCTGAAGGTTCTGGGTTTAGGCTATTAGGGTTTAGGGCTCAGGGTTTAGGGCTTTAGGGTTCAGGTTTTGGGGGTTCAGGGTTCATACTTCGAGTCGAGGGTACCCGCACCTAGACAGAAGGGTTTCAGGCTCCAAGACCCAAAACCCTTAAAACCTAAAGCCTAAAACCCTAAACCCTGCACCCTAAACCCCTAAAGCCCCAAAAC